AAAAAATTGATTTTTTAGTGGTTATTCGCTTTTAGCAAATTTTCGCTTTTAGTAAATTATATGGCAAAATGGATAGCAGCATCGTATTCTACGTGAAAAAATACATTGAAAAGATAAATTATACTTTCATCGTCCGTGCTATTATACAAGTATAAATCGATGATCCAATTCCTAACCTTTGATTTATATGTGTAATATATAGGTAATTGCACTTCTCATAATGTAATGGTGCTGATAATAAATGTGTGGTACATGTTTTCCATATATTTTTTGACGGAAAAACTAAAGGCGCTATTTATTTTACCGTACAATTTGAATATACGGCGCTAAAAGCAAATAACTATGTTTTTAAAGGTTTTTATTTTTTTTAAAGGTGTTCTACCAAGTTGAAAAATAAAAAATAAATATAGGCATGTTCCCAGCATAAAATTATAGAATATAAATTTTTTTCACGATGATATGTCTTCATTTTCGAAAAACAAATTTTTGAAAGTTTTAGAACGTTATAAAAATTTGAATTTGTCACCAACCTTTGTTTAGTTTAGACAGTTTTGTGGGGCTTAAAAAACCCTAATAAATAAATAAACCAATTTTTTAATAAAATTTTTTATAAAATTGACTGAGATATCGTTGAAAAAAACTCTAAAACACAAAATGGGGGCTCATGCTACTCCAGGTTGATACAGGGATATGAAAATTTAATAAAAAGAAATTTCTGAACATACTGAACATAATGGCCTATTTAAACGTAACATACTGTCTTGATTCCCTTATGATTTTTTAAATGATAAATTTTGTAATGATCGAAAGAAGGGAAATAGTGATTTTCCATCTATCACTATTTCCCTTCTTTCCATCATTACAAAATTTATCATTTAATGGCCTATTTACTGTTCCGGTTGGCTTAAAGGGCATTTTGACTATCTTATTTGGCTAGACCAATTTGAAATAAATAAAACATAAATAAAAATAAAACCATATATGTTTTGATTATAACATTATGTGCTGACTTTACGATATTACCAAGTTTATTTTCTGTGTCATCAAAATTAATACTAAAAATCTCATTGTTCCTGTAAGCTCCCGTGTAAGGAACAGCAGAGTTATTTGAAGGCGGGGTAAAATTTGAATCAATATTAGTTTAGTCCAATCTTATTGTCTGATACATCCAATTCTCAATCCAATCTGTCAGTGTTTGATCCCTATCGAAACACAGCTAAAATAACCAACCAATCAGCGCGATGCACACATATACACAAACATTCTCCCTAGACTCTCTCCCTAGACCCACTTTAGGACAACAGTATATCTAAGACATAGCTACTCACATCTCTAACCTCTATGACTAATATATCACTTGTATAGATAATTTCAGTAATTTATGGCTAAATACAGTAATAACATAACATTAATACTTTGTATTGAATGAGTGAAGTTCTTTTCTTTATCTAATAGTAAATTAGTAAATAAGCTTGGTGAAAGTTTTCATTATATAACACAAAACTGTGACTATTTACTACACTGTTTATTAATTACATCAAGAGTATGAAGTGTTGCAAATGCAGACTTACTGCTGTCGAATAAGTTTTCATACTAATTTTAATAAATTATAAGTTCTAGATGAATGCGTTACTTTATGTAAAATGACGTATCTTTTATTAGATGTAATATTCAAAACATTATCACTGACAGCTGCTGTATTTTGAAATGGAAATGATGTACTGCATTAATTAGACATACATGTGTCAAAAATTAATAATAATTCTCAAGCAATCAAGTCTGCAGATATAAATTATAATCTAGATAAAATATTGGATTGGAATATTATATGGAATCAAAAGGACAAAACCAGGTATAAGTAAAAAAAATAAATCAAAGTGATACTCTCAACGCGGACATACATTTGCTCGACTATAATAGATTTAAAATTCATGTGAAATCAACAATTAAAAGTTTCACACATTTCTACATAAGTAGATGTCTTATTTTCCAAAGGAGAGCCTCGTACCAGTTTCCTCAGTGAAGCTAATGAACCAGAAAGAAAGCTGTTCAGCCAGCAAGAGCTTGAAACAGCAGCGAAAAGACTATGTCCTGAGAAAAGTTCAGGTCTGGACGATATACTGAACGAGATTATATGAATAGTAATCCGAAATAATCCTCAGATGCTGTTGATCATCTTCAATAAATGCTTCGATCAAGGAATATTCTGGGCATGCTTGATTTTATGACAATTAAGACAATGTAGAAAGCGATCGAAGGACAAACCAGTGAAAGAATTTTTCCAAACAAATACGCTTTCTGTAAAGGATTTTCGATATTCCAGGCTTTCAAGAGTTTCACAAGCTCTGTAGCGTCACGCTATTAAGCTTCACGATCATAGCTTCACGAGCTATTAAACCGAGAAAGTTTTTGTACAATAATAGCGCTCGACGTCAAGAATAGGTTCAACTCGGCTAGCTGGGAAAGCATCTATCAATTCCTCAACAAAGAGAAAAAGATACCGTAGTACCGCTACAAAGGGTACTGAACAGTTATATGAAGAAGAGAAACTTGGTTATAATTACTGAAAAAGGAGAAATCGTAAACAATTTATAGGCAGGAGTACCTCAAGGTTCAATTAAAGGGCTATTTTTGTGGATCTGCGTATACGACGGTCTACTAAAGCTACAGCTTCCAGAAGGAGCATACCTGGTCGGATTTACAGAGGATGTAGCCCTATCGGTAGTCGTTCAAGCATTGCAAGTTCAATTGATTGCCAACGAGACCTTAGACTTGATTGTCAGCTGACTGAAGAGCAGATAGTTACAATTTATAGTACACAAATTCGAAGCAGTGATAATGATCTGCCGAAGGAAATACGACGTACTGTAGTTCATGATTAATGGAGAAAAAATCCCCTTGAAGAGTGAAATTAAGTACGTACCTGGAAGTCTCGCTATATAAGAGTTGGTTATTCGAGTAACACGTGAATGTAGCAGCAACCAAAGCTTCAATCGTAGGCACGTCTGTACTGCGACTCATGCCTAACATAGGAAAACCCTGGCCATTACGGAGGCAAGTGTTATCAACAGTTGTTGAGTCGATCCACTTATACGGTGCGCCAATCTGAGTAGATCGGATACTTGAATACTTGGTGGACTGCTTGCCCATATGCTGGGCGTAATCGGAAGATGAATCTGCGAATCATAAGTAGCTGGTGCTTGATATCAAGAAATGTGACCAACGTGTTGATAATAAGTGCCAATTATGTGGAGAAGCAAAGGAGAGCGCAGGAAACGCGTGGGATGGTTCGATGTGCCATAGGCGCCACCCGTGTGAGGCAGTACCCGCGAGCGGTTTCTCGCAGCGGATTGCCCCATCGAGGGAGGCGCCAGGCCGGTTTAAAGAAGTGGCGTTTCTCTTTTTGGTCGTTGATTTTGTGTTTATCAGTTCGTTTAGTTTTGGTTCTAGTTATAGTTCTGGGTTTTCTTTTTGGTTTTGGGGTTTAATTTATTTTGTTTGATCACAACCAGAAAGCCCACTTGTGGCCAACGGAAAGGCCCAGCCATGGCGAGGCGACTGGACGGCAAGAGCGGGAGACAGCCCCCGATCCTATGGAAAGGATCGGTTGCTTCGGAGGGGCTGTTACTGAGAATCTCGGCTAGGCCGATTTCGTCCATTTAGCTCTCGCCAATGTCCACGTGCTGCGCCAAGCTAACAGTGTGTGCATGTGGCACGCACATTCATGCTTGAATTTTTGTTTTCGAGGTGCGTGTACGGGCTAAGCTGACGGCTGGAGCGATCGACATGGCGCAGAAGGATAGAGTGAGAGAGAGAAGGAGAGAGCGCTCGAGTTGCGGATCATCGCGGAAAATTTGAAGAGTATCTGGTAGACTTTGGGCAGAGAAAGTCGCGCGCGCGGATTAAGCCGGAGTCAACGGTTTTCCGGAGTTGGCCCTGCGACCTCGTCAACGCTTTTCGTTTTTCGGAGACACGCCCGGTGCGCGGTCGAGTATTGGAGTGTGTGGCTGGGTCACGCCCAGCCGTGTCCCAAAGGATACCCGGCACCGGTGCGTATGGGTAACCGGCGAGGTGCTTAGGTGCACGCGTGAACGGTCTTCGTCCCTGCTGCAGTACCGAGCAACCGAAGGGCAGCGGGAACAACGGCAACCGTAGCGGAAACAACAATAACGAGTGGAACAATAGATTGAGGCAGCAACATAGTAAAGCAAACGAGAGGACGAGCGAGAGAGCAAACAGCGACGACAATAACACCAGCGAGGCGGTTAGTGAGGAGGAGCGCACCATTGACGTCAGATTGCGAAGCGTTCTAGCCGTCAGAGACGCTAAAGTTCGAGGACGGTACCCTGTTCTCTCTTGTCTCTCTCTCTTGGGCGCCAGCTGATGGGAGGTAGTGCGGCAGATCTACTGGCTATCCCGTTGACAATATAACGGCGGAAATTGTTTATCGGACATTTATTGTAAGAATTAGTTTAAAAAAGGGAATCGGCAGGCTGACCAGCCACCGATTCATCTTCGCACTCCTTTTTGTTGTCATGCCGCTCGTAGTATATCGGCGTGAGATATACTATCTTGTAGTCTTGTAGTCGATTGTTGACAATTAAAGGATTAGTGTGTTAATCCGGTATTGTGTTTCTTCGACGCTGTATCACTCCTCATCCGGACTTTGAATCTGTGCGTTTAACGTGGTTTTTCTCGACACGTTATTCAGTCGTGGGAACGTCTTTTGCTTTCCGAACCCCCAAATAAATAATTTGTGCGGACGGCAGCGAGCTACCCAGACGGGAAAGATCGCTTATCTCCGTTACAACATATCCATATACACGCGAGCGCGGGCGCGCTCACACATTATGGAAGAAATCTGACAGAGCCAATGTAACACATCTCCCACATACGAGCAATGAACATTACGGTCCCGAAATAACAAAATATATACCATACGTATAGATGTCACTCAAGCTGAGACTTACATACTTGCATATTTTAAACAATATACATACCTGATTAGTCATGGCAGTAATAAAAGTTGATTGAGCAGAAGATGTATTGAGACAATCGTTAGTATTTTCGGATATTTGAGAGAAATATTCCGATTGTGCTGCAGACAAGCTTTTATTTTTACACGTATTGAAGGAGTGCGAAACGTGGACTGAAGATGTAATTTGTAAAGGAGACTGATTATGTTCTGTTTCATCAATAGGCATTTGTGATGAGTTCTGAAAAAAATAATAAAGAATGAAACTTTAAACAGTATCTGTAATGTAACGTTTATGAAAAAGTGAATAGTATTTGAAATAATTTCTGCACTGGTAGCATGAAACTCTTTATGCCGTAATTGACAGGTTAATCCAAGAAAACTACAACCTGCTAATCCCACGATAGGTTAACCTGAGTACACAATAACCTGTTAACTTGGTACTACTGTTATGAAATCAATAAAGTATTCAACTGAAATCGACGACATATCCACGAAAAATAAGCTTTTTCAAATACAAGTCTTAAAAAATACATTTCAAAGGTAAGAGTGATAGTTTTATTTGAAAAAATAATGTATTTTACTTAATCTTAACCTAACACTTTTTATTTAGGCAACTTTAGGAACTTCATGCTTTGATGTGTTAATGTTTTTAATTTTTGATGAAGATTGACAACTGGAGTATGTCGTGTTGACGTTTTTGCTTTTAGTCGATAATTGACGTTTGGATTTCATGTGTTACTACTTGTATAGGAGCCACTACCTTTTGAATTATAAAAGATAATCATCTCATACTTTTTAGATGATCCTAGAACATCATGGCGCGCGTCGCAGCCCCAATCGTAAAATAATTAATGCTTGGAAATGGCAATTAATGTAATCAGTATTTTATTCGTATTATCTATATTAATTATTAATTATTGCTATAGCAATAGAGAAATATTGTTATTTATACTATGCTCTGTATATGTAATTTTTAATGGCAGAAGTCTGTCTTTAATTACTTAGACAAATTTTTAATGCATCCTATGATCGCAATCTAGACATAGCTACATAGAGCTGATCATGGTATAACACATCGTTTTGAAGATCGATTAGAATTTAATTTAACGTTGACGCTTGAGATTTATTAAAGTTATAGCAAAAGCCAATTAAATTGGAAATTGTTTTCTTTTAAATGTGAATGGATATAGATATTCACAATATAACGATTTAAATAAAAATTATTATGTTATTGCGTTTACCCCCTGTTAATATTTTACAATTTAATAAATTATAAGAAAAATCAAGTATTTCTAACCTTATTCCATTACATAATCTTCTGCTAAGCCTTATATTTATGATCAACACTAATATAAAAATTTTTTCAATCGTATGGGGTGGAAAGTTAGTAGATAAGCAATGTATGTCCTGGGACACAAAGAAGCTGACAAAGGATGCCACCAATGTATAAGGGATATGTGTATGTCCAAGGACACAAAGAGGCCGCCCGATGAAGGTGTTGAATTTTCGCGATAATTTGACACCTGTTTGTCTGCCAGTGGGCCCTTCGACCCAGCGGATCACTGATTTTTTGGAGGGAAACAATCTCATTTCTGATTTCCAATCGGGTTTTCGCAAGCATTACAGCACGCAGACAGCTCTTTTGAAGATCACTGAGGATATTCGCTTTGGCTTTGATGAAGGTCATGTAACAATCTTGCTCTTATTTGATTTCAAGAAGGCGTTTGACTCTCTCGATCACACTGTGCTTCTTGTGATTCTTAGGGAGTTAATCTTCTCGGATGATGCTGTTACGTTTATCTACTCTTATATAACAGGCCGTTTCCAGGGAGTGCTTGATCTTGACGGTACCATCTCAGAGTTCCTCGTAGCCACTTCAGGGGTTCCACAGGGTTCTGCACCTGGCCCTATCATATTTCTGATATTTATAAATTCTCTTTTACTTGTCCTATTCCATTCTGTTGGTATACTTTTCGCCGATGATCTCCAAATTTACATTCAGTGCAAACCTAATGAGGTAAACGATGGAATCTTGAAACTAAACCAGGATGGAAATCGCGTAGTAAATTAGTCAATCATGCGTGGAATTGATATCAACTATGCTAAGACGACGACTATGCTATTTGGATCAGTCCAACAATTACGCTTTCTGGATTTGAGTGCACTATATCCAATCGCCATTGGAGAAAACGTCATTCCGCTCGTGCCTACTGGAAACGAGTTAGGGCTCATCATGTCTAATAGTCTTCAGTGGAACTCGCAGGTGGCCCAGGTTTTATCGCGTGTGCACGGTGCGCTGCATAAGTTCCGGAGAAGAGGTTCGATTCTACCGTTAGCCCTTCGCAAGGAGTTGGTTGTTGCCCTTGTGTTGCCATACTTCGACTATGCGTGTCTGGTCTATTGCGATCTGCCTGATTATCTTAACATTAAGCTCCAGCGTCTGCTAAATGTTTGCGTTCGATTCGTTTTCAGACTTAAGAAAGAAGCCTCTCTTAAGCCTTTCTACAAGTTAGGTTGGCTATCGATCCGAGCGAGAAGAAGGTACTTTATCGCCTCGGTACTGTACCAAACCCTTACTACTCAAAAGCCGGAGTACTTGTATGCCTTATTCCCGCCGCCGAGAGGCGAAATTCGGCGCCCTGGGCGTCTTCAACAATCTAGTTTTGCTATCCCTCTGGCTTGTGCTGCCGCATATGAAAGTTCATTTACAGTTCAGGCCATGATCCTTTGGGACTCATTGCCCGTTTCTTTACGCCTCAGGGAGAACAGTACAAATTTTAGGCTGGGATTGTTGGAGTACCTTAAAGCACGTGATATTTGTTTCACGGAATAGATTAGTTTCACGGAATAGATTGTTAAGATGGTTGCTGGTTACAGTTGGCGCACAAGTTTGTCTTGGTCTGGCTTTAAATGTCCAGCGTTAACACAAAGGGTATACTGCGCTAATTTGTTATTTGCTGCTGAATTCTCAAACTGCCATGTCTGTCCCGTATTGCTTACGTTTTGCTCCGCGTTGTTATTAAGGTTACGTCTACTATCATTGTTGTAATTCTCTCTCTCTCTCTCTCTCTCTCTCTCTCTCTCTCTCTCTCTCTCTCTCTCTCTCTTTCTCTCTGTCACCGGGAAAGAAGAGACGTTGAGGTGCTGCACACGCAGCCTCTGTAATTTAAATTATAAAAATCCTTATTTTATACCAGTCGTCATCCATAACCTTACTGGATATGATTCTTATTTTATTATAAAAGAAATAGCTACTAGCTCTGATCTTGAAGGAAATGTGACTGTTCTAGCTGAAAACAAGGAAAGATATATAGCTTTCACAAAACACATGGACGGTAGTACTATTAATTTTCGATTTATTGATTCGTTTCGTTTTATGCCATACTCAACCAAACTAAATATCGTAGAGCATGAATTCAAGAAAAATAAATATACAAAAACATAAATAGAATTATGGAAGAGAAAAGGCGTTTTTCCATATTAGTATGTTAACAGTTTTGAAAGATTAAAACAGACTTAACTATCACCTATTGAAGATTTTCATAGTCAATTGATAGATAGCAACATCTCTGAAGCTGAATATGAGCATACACAAAAAGTATGGAATGCTTTTGACATTATTGATTTAGGACAGTATTCTGATCTATACTTAAAAACTGACGTATTAGTCTTGGCCGATATTTTTGAGAATTTTCGTAAAACTTTTACGGATACGTATCAACTCGACCCATCATACTATTATACTACTCCTAGATTAACATGGGATGCTATGTTGATAGTGTACAAATATTGAGCTAGAACTTTTAACTGATATAGACATGGTTTTATTCATTCAAAAAGGTATTCGAGGAGGTATTAGTCAATGTGGTAATAGATATACAAATGCTAATAATCGATATACGGGCTCAGAATACAATGAAAAAGAACCAAGTATGTGTTTGATGTACTTTGATGTTAACAATGGATGGGCGATGACGCAATCATTACCGTATAGAAATTTTAAATGGATCTCTAACATTGATGAGCCTAATTTTGTCGACGTTTCCGATAATAATGAGGTTGGATATATTTTAAAAGTTGATCTACAGTATCCAAAAGAGCTACATGACGAACATAAGGACCTTCCTCTTTGTCCTGAACATAACACACTACCCGGATCAACACAAAAAAAACTTTTAACAACACTGTATAATAAAGAACGGTATGTCATTCACTATAGAGCGCTAAAGCAGGCTATTAAATACGGATTCCAATTAAAACAAATACACAGAGCACTACAGTTTAATCAAAAGCCGTGGTTTAAAACTTATGCAGATTTGAATACGGAAAAAAGAAAACGAGCTAAAAATGAGTTTGAAAAGATATTCTATAAACTCATGGTTGATACAGTATACGGAAAGACTATGGAGGATGAAAGGAAGCGAAAAGACATTAAATTAATTAATGCATGGGGTGGTAGATATAGAGCAGAAGCGAGGATTGCCCAACCCAACTTTCATAGTAGTTCCATCTTTGATGAAAATTTAGTAGCAATACAGTTATCATGGACGTATATTAGTATTAAAAAACCAATATTTATTGGACTTTGTGTGCTCCATATGTCAAAAACATTAGTATATGACTTCCACTATGGCTACATAAAAGAAAGACTAGCTCATAAAGCAAAATTACTTTACACTCATATAGATAGCCTTGTGTATGAATTTTAAGATGTTGATATATATGAAATAATAAAAGAAGATATCAATAAATTTTATACATCAAATTACTCAGAAAATAATCAGTTTAATATTCCGTTAGTTAATAAAAAAGTTCTCGGTATTACGAAAGATGAATGCAATGGTAATATTATGAGAGAATTCATTGGCCTTCGAAGTAAAATGTATAGTATACTAATAGAAAACCATTAACCAATGAAGAAAGCAAAAGGCGGAAAACACATACTGTCACAAAAATAATAGATCATGAAGATTATCGAAACTGTTTATTGGAATTAGAAATTATTATGCGTGAGCAATGCAACATACGTAGTGTATTACATCAAGTAAGAACGGAAAGACCGTAGAAAGTATCACTAAGTCCATATAATGATAAACGGTGTATATTTGATAAAAATCCAGATACACTTCCATGGGGTCATTACAAAACTATTGAAACGCCAAAGCTTGAAAACAGCAGTGCGTAACAACGAAGATGGAAGAAGATCACAGAAATGAAAGAAAATCCTCAAGATACTTT